AAAAAGACAAGAAGAAGAAGAAGAAGAAGAAGGAATAATAAGAAGAAGAAGGAATACAAGAAGAAGAAGAAGGAATACAAGAAGAAGAAGAAGGAATACAAGAAAATAGAAGAAAAGAAGAAGGAATAAGAAGAAGAAGGAATACAAGAAGAAGAAGAAGGAATACAAGAAGAAGAAGAAGGAATACAAGAAAATAGAAGAAAAGAAGAAGAATACAAGAAGAAGAAGGAATACAAGAAGAAGAAGAAGGAATACAAGAAGAAGAAGAAGAAGGAATACAAGATAAATAGAAGAAGAAGAAGGAATACAAGAAGAAGAAGAAGGAATACAAGAAGAAGAAGAAAGAATACAAGAAGAAGAAGAAGGAATACAAGATAAATAGAAGAAGAAGAAGGAATACAAGAAGAAGAAGAAGGAATACAAGAAGAAGAAGAAAGAATACAAGAAGAAGAAGAAGGAATACAAGATAAATAGAAGAAGAAGAAGGAATACAACAAGAAGAAGGAATACAAGAAGAAGAAGAAGGAATACAAGAAGAAAAAGAAGGAATACAAGATAAATAGAAGAAGAAGAAGGAATACAAGAAGTAGAAGAAGGAATACAAGAAGAAGAAAAAGGAATACAAGATAAATAGAAGAAGAAGAAGGAATACAAGAAGAAGAACGAATACAAGAAGAAGAAGAAGGAATACAAGAAGAAGAAGAAGGAATACAAGATAAATAGAAGAAGAAGAAGAAGGAATACAAGAAGAAGAAGAAGAAGGAATACAAGAAGAAGAAGAAGGAATACAAGAAGAAGAAGAAGGAATACAAGGTAAATAGAAGAAGAAGAAGAAGGAATACAAGATAAATAGAAGAAGGAATACAAGAAGAAGAAGAAGAAATACAAGAAGAAGAAGAAGGAATACAAGAAGAAGAAGAAGGAATACAAGAAGAAGAAGAAGGAATAAGAGAAAAAGAAGAAGAAGAAGAAGGAATAAAGGAATACAAGAAGAAGAAGGAAACAAAAGAAGGAATACAAGAAGAAGAAGGAATAGAAGGAATAAGAAAAAAGAAGGAATAAAGAAGAAGAAGGAATAACAAGAAGAAGAAGAAGGAATACAAGATAAATAGAAGAAGAAGAAGAAGGAAGAAGAAGAAGAAGGAACACAAGATAAATAGAAGAAGAAGAAGAAGGAATACAAGAAGAAGAAGGAATAAAGAAGAAGAAGAAGGAATAAAGAAGAAGAAGGAATACAAGAAAAATAAAGAAGAAGAAGAAGGAATGAAGAAGAAGGAATAAACAAGAAGAAGAAGGAATACAAGAAGAAGAAGGAATACAAGAAGAAGAAGGAATAAGAAGAAGGAATACAAGAAGAAGAAGAAGGAATACAAGAAGAAGAAGGAATAAAAGATGAAGAAGGAATACAAGAAGAAGAAGGAATAAAGAAGAAGAAGAAGGAATACAAGAAGAAGAAGGAATAGATAAATAGAAGAAGAAGAAGAATACAAGAAGAAGAAGAAGGAATACAAGAAAATAGAAGAAGAAGAAGAAAATAAAGATAAAAGAAGAAGAAGAAGAAGGAATACAAGAAGAAGAAGAAGGAATACAAGAAGAAGAAGAAGGAATAGATAAATAGAAGAAGAAGGAATACAAGAAAATAGAAGAAAAGAATACAAGAAGAAGAAGAAGGAATACAAGATGAAGAAGAAGAAGGAATACAAGATAAATAGAAGAAGAAGAAGGAATAATGAAGAAGAAGAAGGAATACAAGAAGAAGAAGGAATACAAGAAGAAGAAGAAGGAATACAAGATAAATAGAAGAAGAAGAAGGAATACAAGAAGAAGAAGGAATACAAGAAGAAGAAGAAGGAATACAAGAAGAAGAAGAAGGAATACAAGATAAATAGAAGAAGAAGATAGAATACAAGAAAATAGAAGAAGAAGAAGGAATAAAGAAGAAGAAGAAGGAATAAAAGAAGAAGAAGGAATACAAGAAGAAGAAGAAATACAAGAAGAAGAAAATACAAGAAGAAAAAGGAATAAAAAAGAAGGAATACAAGAAGAAGAAGAATACAAGAAGAAGAAGAAGAATAGAAGAAGAAGAAGGAATAAAGAAGAAGAAGAAGGAATACAAGAAGAAATAGAAGAAGAAGAAGAAGGAATACAAGATAAATAGAAGAAGAAGAAGAAGAAGAATACAAGAAGAAGAAGAATAATACAAGAAGAAGAAGAAGAAGAAGAAGGAAAGAAGAAGAAGGAAAAGAAGAAGAGAAGGAATACAAGAAGAAGAAGGAATACAAGAAGAAGAAGAAGGAATAGAAGAAGAAGAAGAAGAAGAAGAAAATAGAAGAAGAAGAAGAAGAAAAATAAAGAAAATAGAAGAAGAAGAAGGAATACAAGAAAATAGAAGAAGAAGAAGAAGAAGGAATACAAGAAGAAGAAGGAATAAAGAAGAAGAAGAAGAATACAAGAAGAAGAAGGAATACAAGATAAATAGAAGAAGAAGAAGAAGAATAAAGAAGAAGAAAAATACAAGAAGAAGAAGAAGGAATACAAGAAGAAGAAGAAGGAAATAAATAGAAGAAGAAGAAGGAATACAAGAAGAAGAAGAAGGAATAAATACAAGAAGAAGAAGGAATACAAGAAGAAGAAGAAGGAATACAAGAAGAAGAAGAAGGAATACAAGATAAATAGAAGAAGAAGAAGAAGGAATACAAGAAGAAGAAGAAGGAATACAAGATAAATAGAAGAAGAAGAAGAAGGAATACAAGAAGAAGAAGGAATACAAGAAGAAGAAGAAGGAATACAAGAAGAAGAAGGAATACAAGAAGAAGAAGAAGGAATACAAGAAGAAGAAGAAGGAATACAAGAAGAAGAAGAAGGAATACAAGAAGAAGAAGAAGGAATACAAGATAAATAGAAGAAGAAGAAGGAATACAAGATAAATAGAAGAAGAAGAAGAAGAAGGAATACAAGAAGAAGAAGAAGGAATACAAGAAGAAGAAGAAGGAATACAAGAAGAAGAAGAAGGAATACAAGATAAATAGAAGTAGAAGAAGAAGGAATACAAGAAGAAGAAGGAATACAAGAAGAAGAAGAAGGAATACAAGAAGAAGAAGAAGGTATACAAGATAAATAGAAGAAGAAGAAGAAGGAATACAAGAAGAAGAAGGAATACAAGAAGAAGAAGACGGAATACAAGAAGAAGAAGGAATACAAGATAAATAGAAGAAGAAGAAGAAGGAATACAACATAAATAGAAGAAGAAGATGATGGAATACATGAAGAAGAAAAAGGAATGCAAGAAGAAGAAGGAATACAAGTAGAAGATAAAGGAAAAAGAAGAAGAAGAATGAATATAAGAAGAAGGAATACAAGAAGACGGGGAAGGTGGAGAAAGAGTAATACAAGAAGAAGAAAAAAAAAGAAGGAGTACAAGAAAAAGAAGAAGGAATACAAGAAGAAGAAGAAGAAATAAAAGAAGAAGAGAAAGAAGTAGGTAACGATAAATAAAAGTGAAACATTTAAAAAGTTCAATATAAATCTATGAATCGATGAATACTATGAATAGTCATTAATTTGTTTTCCTTAATCACTCATTCACCAGAACTTCGCCAGAACATTCACAGAATCTCTCACTGGAATGAATCAGTTTCATTTTTATAGTCATTCCAACCCAAGCAAAGGCTATAAAGCCGCTAAGATGCAAGTGCTTACCTAGTGTGTGAAAGAAAAAAAAGAAGAAAAAATCATTAAAGCAAACGAACAATAAAAGAAAAGTAATTAAGAATAGGACTGACATTGCATTCGTTGATGATCAAATTTACTGGAAAACAAAAAGCCGGAAAAGAGTGCCACAAGTGGGAGCTGCGATAGAAGAAGCCGTTGATATAGAACTTACGGTAACACTTAACCATTTCAAGAGTAAAATGATGAGACATTGCCATCAATGTAGTACTGCGCTTAAATTCATGACGTCTACATACCAGAGAGGAAAGTAATATCTATTTTGAAAATAGAAAAATGTGGCACAAGGCCAAAAGTTGGGATAGGTAAAAGCTAGTCTTCAATCTGTCTTATCTTAAACTTAGCTAGCCACGATTACTGACCCAAACAGACCACAGTATTCCTTTGTGAGGGATTCACTCACATCATAGCAACAGAAATTAGCCTCGTGTTCACGGAAATAAAAGCATACATGACAGAAAATAAAACGAACAAAAATAACAGGAAAAGCATGGTAAATTTCATGTTACTTTCATAAAATTTATTTATATTTTTTATGTGTAGTTGTAAGCGTATTTTTAGGTTACAGTTTGTTTATGGTACATGTGATAAAAAGGGAGAATTTACTCCGCAGTATTAAAGACCATATCCCAGAGAGAATTCGGACACGTGTTGCCCGTACAAAGGATCGAGGTGAAGAGATTGAATTTAACGTCGTTTGGCTGGATGTCCGTATTTCCGGAATTAACAGTTTTTGTTGATGACTGGGAGTATTGTTATTATTTTTAATTTTTATTTAATTTATTTTATACAAGGTTTTTATGTTATTATTTTATTTTATTTATAGTTTTCATTATTTTATATGTTACTTTTATTTATTTATAATAATAACAATATCCCTACAGCAAAGCAACACATTCTTACTTACCATTCTTACTACAACCACCATAATACCTCAAAGTTTTCAACAAATCCTAACTAGTTCCCATGTGTACAATTTGCCGGGGGGGGATAAAAAATAACAACTTAAAAATAAATCCCCAATGAATATCGAGGAAAGTTGATCAGAATAATTACCATGAAAATATTTATTTAAAAAAAAGGCACAGATAAACTACATTACGGCGGTGGAAAAGTGACTGAAAAGGAGCTGCCAGGTCAGGACCAAAAAGTTTGCAGATTCTTTGGATTTTCTCAAGAATCTCTAAAACAACGATAGTTAAGCATTCATTTCTCTCAGAGCAATTCTCGTGTTTTTGGAATCTGACCCTCACATTATTCCAATAATTTGGTCATATACTATACTTAATGAATAACAATGGCAATGAAAGACGAAAGACAAACGAAGTAGCGAAGAAAGAAGTAGAAAAAGGGGAACGAAAAAGAAGAGAGCGAGGGAAAAGAAAGAAAGAAAGAAAGAAAGAAAGAAAATAAAAATGAAGGCAATCAGTTGAAACGGGCAAAGAAAGAAAGAAAGAAAGAAAGAAAGAGAGAAAGAAAGAAAGAAAGAAAGAAAGAAAGAAAGGAAAATGAAGGCAATTAGTTGAAACAAGAGCAAAGAAAGAAAGAAAGAAAGAAAGAAAGAAAGAAAGAAAGAAAGAAAAATGAAGGCAATTATTTGAAGAAGAAAGAAAGAAAGAAAGAAAGAAAGAAAGAAAATGAAGGCAATTAGTTGAAACAAGAGCAAAGAAAGAAAGAAAGAAAGAAAGAAAGAAAGAAAGAAAGAGAGGAAAATGAAGGCAATTAGTTGAAACAAGAGCAAAGAAAGAAAGAAAGAAAGAAAGAAAGAAAGAAAGAAAGAAAGAAAGAAATAAAAAAAATAAAAAAAAATAAAAATGAAGGCAATTATTTGAAACAGGAGCAAAGAAAGAAAGAAAGAAAGAAAGAAAGAAAGAAACAAAGAAAGCCAGGCACTATAATAGAAGAAACGTGATGTGAATATAGAAGAAGGAGAAAAACGAAGGACTTAAGGGTCAATAATAAAGATGTAAATGAAAATAAACCGAATAATGAACGACAAAAAAAAAAGAAAACATCGACGCCACGAAAAAAAGAAAAGAAAAACAAATAATAAAACATAACATAAAAAACTATTTTAAGCAAAAACAAAAAAAATAAATTATGAAAATCTATTCAAAATATTACGTAATATTTTTAAAACAAGTGAAATATTTAAATTTTTAAAAATCCAATTTTTACGAACATGCAATATAAAACCGTTTTTGCATAAAGGCGATGACAACGAAATAAATCAAGTAAAAATGTTGTATTTGTTGCTTTATTTATAAAACCTTTTCTTGACATTTCCCTAAGCGTCGAAAGGGTGGTTCGTTTTTCCTCATAGACGGAAAGACAATATAAATGACCTTCTGTTACTTAATGCTATTTGAAATTTAAAATATTCCAACCAAAAGTGATTTTTCTAACTTTGGAAAAGTGTTATTTATTCAATTATTACCAGGGCAACATTTTGCATTAGATTTCTTCTTCTTCTTCTTCTTCTTCTTCTTCTTCTTCTTCTTTAGATTCCTTTCCTCGTTTATGTTTTTTCCTCTTTTCTGTCTTTTTTTTCTAATTTGATATCTGTTTCTCTTTTTTATTTCCTTCCTATCGCCATTTTGATTCTCCACCTTCTCCTCCTCCTCCTTCTTGTTCTTCTTCTTTACATCTCACTCAGTTTATATTTATCTATCTCCCTTAATATCTACTAAGCTATATCGGTTCCTATCTATTTATCATTTTGTATATCCTTTTCCGAACTCAGTTGTTCATATCTATCTATCTATCTATCTATCTATCTATCTATATATATATATATATATATATATATATATATATATATATATAAAATGCCCGTTAAGAATTGTATTCCTGATCAATTAAAATTCGTAAATAATTATATAGACTACACTACAACATGTTTGACACGCAGACTAACTCTACATCTTTCTGACCATAGCTCAATTAGATCTCATTTAAATATTCATAGAGACCTACCGAACACTATTCATAACATACTTGTTGACAACACTAATATAATACCATCATCTACATGCAAAAAAAGGATAAAAATAATGAAAGCCTTATTAAAAAAAAACACTTAATAATATTAACTATGAACATAGACACAATATATTGACCGTGTTTTGAAAAATGAAAACATTTTATAAAACATACATACAACAAACTATTTCTTATTTAACAGTTAAAATATTTAATCCTTGAAAACGGCTAAATGTATAGCCGAAAGCGCTCGGATAAAAAAAACATTCGGACAGTTTTTATATAATTTATCATCCGAAAAGAAAGAAAATTATTAGATTGCATGAGAAATTGTATAAAAAAACTAAATAAAAGCACCTTGTCTGTCGTATTCAATGAAATGTGCCTGAAAGAAGGATTGCTACCTAAATACACAAATATATAAAGACATTTTTATGTTATACATTCTTTTTATAGATACAAATATTTAAGTAAATGCTCCGTTTATAATAAACAGTATTAAACAACATTTACCGGCCTGAATGTACGAGAAATTTTCACAGAAAATATTCGTCCTCCGACAGGATTCTATACGGAACCGTCATTTAGCTTGACGTGCATTTACCGATTTGGCCACATAGGAGCGTTCGGTTAGCAGAACCTCGAATTTACTGTATATAAACTTCAATCTTCCATGAATCACGTTCATTCATATCTGCTCATGACGTATCAAATGGAAACAAATGACGTCACACACTATGAAACGGACAAAGTCCGACAATTATTTTAAGACATTTTTATGTTTATACTTTCTTTTTATAGATACAAAGATGTAGTTTATCGTCATACTCATGACGGAAATCCCTTAGTGACTTTTGAGTCAGCCTAAATATATATATATATATATATATATATATATATAGTCATATATATATATATATATATATATATATATATATATATATAGGCACTAAGGATTTCCGACATGAGTATGACGATAAACTACATCCAGCAGCAAGGCCTCTGATTGGGAGATTGGAGGTGTTGAAGGGCTTGGAACCATCCCTCAACTGTTGTTGTTTCTAGAACCACCCTGACCCTGGGTGGTAGCACCTGTTAGGCTCCCAGCTATAGTCAAATAGTTAACTGGGGTCTAAACACTTTGAAAGTATAAAACGTTTTATGGCAAAAAATATCAGCAATCCATTTTCATCGTAAAAAACGAATTTACTAATGCTCCCAAGCGAATTAAATTTTGGCATTAAATTACCCATATGTGTTGATATGCCGTTAGACAAACAAACAAACAAACATTGCTGTTCCTCAGAAATTATCCAAAAAATTATCAAAATAAATAAATTCTGAAATATTCAGAAGTGGCACGAGTAGCCGTTGTGTCGCCAGTTTCAGTTGGGGTCCTGCATTTGTAGGGAAAAGCTACTGATAAACATATTGAAGGGATCCATGGCAGCCCTTGACTACAGAAAATAATAAAAAAAATAAATAAAACTTCTTCTTACAAGGGCATTACTAAGGTCATTATCTATGTAATAAGTGTAAGCTTTTGCATTTTTTTTTACACAAATGTGTAGTGGAAAATGTCATCATTGTAAAGTTTCGAACCTTAGGTTACTGACTGGGATTAAGATGAGGACAATACTCCGAATAATGGAAATAATGTGCATAATACCTCCTCTCAGAAATATAGACAGATACTGAAAGGCTGAAACGTTGTAATGAATATGGCGATAAAGATGAGGACAATAATCAGAATAATGTAAATAGTGTACATAATACCTCATCTTAGAAATATAGACAGATACTGAAAGGCCGAAACGTTGTAATAAATATGGCAACAAAGATGAGGACACTAGTCCGAATAATGTAAATAGTTTACATAATAGCTTATCTCAGAAATATAGACAGATATTTAATGGCCGAAACGTTGTGATAAATATGGCGACAAAGATGAGGGCAATAGTCCGAATAATGTAAATAGTGTACATAATACCTCATCTCAAAAATATAGACAGATACTGAAATAAATGTATGTACAATAGAAATCAAAGAAGTCTACACTACCTGGCCACGGGATTGAACTCACAATTACTAGGCCACCAAATTGTTTTACTATATTAGATATCATTATTAAATATTGTTTCTGTATATCGATAGAGATAACGCTTCATTTCTTAGATCTTTTCTTTTTCGCTTTTGAACGGTGATCGACTGTAGTTTAATTGATCCTTGATCGATACAGCTAATACTTTTATATATTCCGCATCTTTCAAAAATATTTAGCTTTAACCTTGCAATTGTTTTGATCATGCCTTCCTACCTAAGCTGAGCGGCTTCTTGATAATGGTTAAGTTCGAGTAAAATCGAAAGAAAGTGAACAGCTGGAAAAATATCTGGATCTTGCGAGAGAAGTGGACATATTAAGAAATATCCTAACAGATGGCGGTGCTCATCATCATAGGAGATCCTTGAAGATTCCCTGGTAAATGATTAAAAATAGGAATAGCAACAGAAGCTACAATAATAATTGAAATGAATACTCAGATAAAAACAGCGTAATATTATTAAATAATAATAATAATAATCATTTTTCAGATATTTTATAGCTGCATTTCCGTTTCCATGATTAAAACAAAGAATAAATTTAAGAAAAAGAAAATGGAGGTATGGACAGGAGAAAAAAAGAATTAAAGAATGAGTAAAGGAATAAAAATTAAGATCGTAAAGAAGGAAGAAAAAAGAAAGAAAGAAAGTTTGTTAAAAAAAGAAAGAACGATTGTCTGAAAAGAAAAAAGAAAGGAAATTGTCAAACTAGAAAGAAAGAAAGAAAGACTGTCAGACAAGAAAGAAAGAAAGAAAGAAAGAATGAAACAGAGTGTAAAATAAGTACTGAAAATTAAGATGGCCAGACAAGAAAGAAAGAAAGAAAGAAAGAAAGAAAGTTTTTTAGAAAAGAAAGGATGACTGATAAGAAAGAAAGAAAGAAACAAACAAACAAAGACACAGAGTGCCAACCAAGAACAAAAAATTAGGATATTTTATAGCTGCATTTCCATTTCCATGATTAAAACGAAAAATAAATTTAAAAAAAGAAAATGGAGAAATGTAAAGGAGAAAAAAGAATGAATAAAGGAATAAAAATTAAGATCTTAAAGAAGGAATAAAAAAGAAAGTAAAGTTTGAAAGAAAGAAAGAAAGAAAAAGAAAGAAAGAGAAAGAAAGGGATTCACATGAGGAAATTAAGATATAAAATAGAAAAGTAGACCAAGAAAAATAAGATAGATAATGGGAAGAAGAAGAAGAAGAAGAAGAAGAAGAAGAAGAAGAAGAAGAAGAAAAAGAAAATAAAAAAATGCAT